GAAAACGACAGACAAAAACATTAGGTACATTAAATTACGGTCTCCCGGGAAAACCGAACAACCCTAATCACGTGTGCCCCCTCGACCAAGTGCAGCGACGGGTCATCGTGTTTAGCGACGCACAAAAAAAAAACGGCGATCTTTATATTGTCGAGATGCAAACGTAGAGGATGAGACAAAAAAAATATCATTTTTATAATTTATTAGTCATAAATTAAGTGACAACGAATCGTAAGTAAGTATGGGCAAGGCTGGGCATTAACGAGTTAAAAATTAAAATTAAGTTAAAACGTTAAGTTAATTTTAATTAAGTTAATTAACTCGTTACTTTTTTTTTCAAATTAACTTTTAACTTAATAAGTTACTTTTTATCAAGATTAACGTGTTAGCTTCAAGTTAATTTTATTTCAAAAATATCCAAATTAAGTTAATTTTCGTCTGAAGAATAATGTAAATTTTTTAATGTGTTTTTACTTTGATGTATCATTTTAAATTTCCCCAGTAATTTTCTTAGACGTAAAGAAAAACTATCTAATAAACCACATTATGTGTCTGGTATTTTCTATTTTTGCAAATTAGCAAATTTTAACTTTACACTAAGTTAAGTTACTTTTTTTTCAAAGTTAACTTTTAACTTAACGAGTTAACGATAAAAAATACGAGTAACTTTTAACTTAACTTTACTTAATTATTTTAAAATAACTTAACTTAACGAGTTAAAAAAAACATTAACTTGCCCAGCCTTGAGTATAGGTCGTACTCACTATGTTCAGAAGGCGGCAGTCTCATTTTGTCGAGGTCGGTGGCTTCGCGGTCATTGTAGACGATCACGGCTGAGGCGCCGGCCCGTCGCGCGTTGTCCACTTTGGTCCGGAAACTGCACTTGCCCCTGCGCACCAGTGCTATCCAGGGTCCGGAGTCCGGCGGTTCCTGGACGCCATGGACGGGGGGAGCGCACCCGTTGCGGTCACCGTCTGTGCCGATGACGTGCAACAGCATCCCGGACGCGGCCCCCACGTGATACTCGCCGAAAATGCCGATCTCCGATTTTTCCGTCTGAACCGCGACGCCCGTGGCCACGTCGTAGCTGGTCACGTTCAGGTACGCTGTAGTGTACGAGTCAGCTGCCTCATCGACGGTGGACGCGGCGGCCGGCCATGGGTCCGACGACGCGGCCACGCCGAGTAACGTCCACGCTGCCAGCATCGCGTGCATGGCAAGGCGGATGGTCGTGGACGACGATTTGAATTCGATCGCCTACAATATAATACGAAAATGCGTTGATGACTGACGGACCGGGTCTAACTTACGCGCAGTCGTTTTATTTTTTAAAAGCGGGAAAACGATAATCGATATTTTTCAACCGACCGTATTAATATTTTATTCGCTCGAAAACGGGGTAACACTTGAATGGCGATGGGGTGGTAATATTATGGTAATAATATATGGTAATATAGCTGCTGCTGTACGACTACACGACTAAATCGAGATCGAAACGTCTTCGCCTAATGTGCGGGCGAAACGGTGGACCACGGCGCGTGTCTCGCACACTACTGACGTTCTGTTATCGGGCCCCACTGCACTGACGGACGGCGTGACGTTAATAGCGTTTTCCACCTGACCGCACTGTCGCACCAAAGTGGCACTGGTACAGTTCATTGATAATCGTTCTAGTGCAGGTTGGTGCAAGTGCAGATGAAACATACAATTTGTTTATCATTTAATTTCTTATAGTTCACTATCTGTATTCACCAATCTGCAGCCGAAACGATATAATAATAATATTTAGCTGTAGTACCTAAATAGTAAATATTATAAAAATTATTGTATACCTACGTAATGTTACTTCCCTATTATTCAATAATTTATAAATTCGCCTAAACGATCGGTTAATTTCTCGCCCAAATGATTTATTCTTTACTCAAGTTAATTTTGGGTTATTCGCCCAAACGAATGACGCTCAAATTTTTTACACCCGAAATACGTGTACTTCTGCATTAGTATACTGAATTAAAAAGTGTATGAAACAATTTTCGGAAATTTAAACCCTGTCTAGTTTTCGATATTACAGTGCTTACTGCTCAAATCAGGTTGACTTATTCTATTTTCTACTTCCGCGGGATGTCAAGTAAAGTAGACTTTTTCCGAAGTTTATCGTTACCTAGAGATCACCCAATGTGGTTTTACATAACATATCAAGGGTTGTTTTCGATGTTAACTGTCCTAACAATAGTGACCCCGCTATATTACATTTGCTATTTTTGCTTTTCGAGAAATAATATATTTTTGCTTCCTGTCTCTCACCGTTGTGTCAGCAATCCACCGTAGGTAGATTGCCTACCTGATATACCTACTATTGCATACTGTCCACAATCCAATTCGTATTATCTTATTTTGAAAAATCGGAAAAACATGCAAATTTACTGGGCTGGTACCTAATAGGAATTTAAGAATACATAGTTATTTGAAAAAGCAGCCCACCGGGAAAACTCCCGAATTCCCGGGGGCCCAATCCGCCCCTGTTATGATCTATATTTTTCTTTATAAAACGTTCTACCTTGTACAACAATGAATAAAATATTGTTTTTAAATTCGTTTGTCATTTTTATTAATATCAATACTGCCATATCAGTACTTTTCGTGATAATGATAAGGCGCACGAGCTCCAGGAGCTCGTGCAACTATCACTGCACTGAGTGCAAAAAACTCGCATAGTGCAGTAACGTGGAACATAAAATTAGTAATTTAGTGCGCACTGGAATAGCTGATGAAACATAAAAAAGTGCACTAGTGCAGCCACAGTGCAGCTAGTGCGGTTAGGTGGAAAACGCTATAATACGGGGACCCCGTTATTGTAGCGGCGGTAGCAGTCTACTTACTATACTGTAAGTTGTAGTAGCCTGTTGTAGCGTTTAGACTTTAGAATAACAATAACAAACCAATGCCGCCAGCCAGTGCAGCGTTAAAATACCGCACTCTCACCCGTCGCGTTGGCCGCGACTGTGTGGTGAGCAATAAAACACACGCCGCCACATATTTTAAATTGCAACCTCTGGTAGTCTGATCTTTTCACCGCCAAACATCACTTTGCTTATTACCTAAATATTATTATTTATTCTTGTTATGCCATTGTAACGACTTGACGTTGGTGTAATTCTGACATCGAAGTATCAAACCCGACGCAAAGTTATTGTGCCAGGTACCTACCAATGTACCGATATATATACCTATAATATATTAATATCGATCTATCCGTATCCTTATGATCTTTATGACATCACTGATTACCATTCACTGTGTATGATTTAGAATGAATTACGAAAATACTATTATGTAGGTATACCTATTACAAGTTCAAATGGCATATGCCATATATAGATGATAGGATATTTTGGTTAATATGTAATTAGTTATTTTAAACTTCGTATACCTAACTATAATATATACTTATATGAAACACTATTATTTTAGCCATTTTTCATAGCCATTACTCATTAACTAATTGATATAATAATAATCTAAACTTCCAGTAAATGCCGAACAATAGAATGGCATTTAAAATATCTATCCCAAATGAAATTTCAAGTAGTATTATCCATTTGTCAGTAAATATTATAATCGTAATTACATAGTTTATAATGGAATACAATTTACAAATAATTGTAACATTGCATGTTATTCAATAAATTAATTGATTTCCCATTGTTACAATGGTATATAATAATAATATAGAATTAAAAATGAATTATAAAATTATAAAACTCATAAATCCTTTATTTTTATACTTTAATTAAATATAATAACACATTACGCATTGTCCAACTTTCGCATTCAATTTTCAGGCTTATGAGATTTAAAATTTAAAATTGTATGCACAATTGGGTTATAAACAAAATATTGTAAATAACTATTATGTATCGTAAATAATGTTTCAATAAAAAAATCTTTAACATTACAACATTTTCTTATAGTGAAAAATATTTTAAAATTAGAGTTTGGTTGCTTATGTATCTACGTATAAATACATATTTATTGGTTAACCTCGGAAGTTAAATACACTGAAAAAAAACATGAAAATTACTAATTAGCATGTGAACCTAGAGGATTATTGATTTCAAATTCATCTGTGTATAAAAAAAAAAGGAATACATATTTTGTTATGTTGAAAAACTTTTTTTTTCCAGAGATTTCCTTGGACAAAATTTTCCATTGATGTACTTTCATTATTTTGATAGAATAGTAATAAATGATAGAATAGAATCGTATTGTATGATTTAATTCATATAAACAATCTTATGATGTTAGTAAAATAAAATCTATAATTTTTATTTATTAAATGTAACTATTATTTTCTAAATAATATATACAATAAAGAAATATTAAATACGCCTAGTTTATTATTGGGAATTACGATGTTCAATTAATGTTATAATGTAGTGACGTCTAAGATTGTAACAGACAAAAGTATTATTAATTTTGCTCCATTCAATAACACGTTACAAATAAGGCCAACTATATTAGACTGCACCCTGCGTCGTGTTGATAAAGGAAAAACAAGATCGTCTAAACAGCTTATTTGTAGGCTGTGGCGTGTTCTTATAAAGTTTCTGCGAAAACTGAGGTAAGGGGTAGTGTTATAGTAGAGTGAGAGAGAGAGAGAGACAGTGATACAAATAACAGAGATGATATTCTATATGGTTATAGAGAACTTCTTTGAACATTCTGTTGTATTTTCACACGAAAGACTTTCCTTGTGTGTTTTTCTTTGTAGACTAACTATATTGTAAATATTATACCATGTCTCAGTGGGAAAAATACGACTTTACAAGTATGCTCAGAAAATGTATGTGGGGGGAGTTTTCAAGTAAAATTGAAGGAGCTAGTGTTATACCTGACGACCATATTTTTTTTTTAATCAACAAAAAATTCCATTTATAGATTTAAATATTATATTGCTAATATAGGAACTATTATACTAATATACAATTTACATTCAAAAATTAAAGAACAAAATCTAGTTTTCTTGATTTTTTGCTCAATTCATTTAAAACTTCTTCTGCTGTTAGTGGAATTTCTTTATGAACAGCTAACATAGCTAAGCCATTAAGTCGAGTCTAAAACCAAAAAAATGTTAAAAAAAATTGATATAAATATTTATTTTAAAATCCAGAAAATACATCAGTCATTGTGTTTCGTAGATAAGATTTCAATCTTTTGAGACAAGAAAACGTTCTCTCGGGGGTGGATGTTGAGACAGGTAAAGTGCATAGTATTTTTAATAGAAAATGTATATTGGGAAATATTTCTTTATCACACTGTCTCAACTCTTCTAAACAATTTTTTGGATATTTTACATGCTTATTGAGTTTGGTATACTATATATGTAGTTCAGCTTTAACTGTTAGCTTGTCAGTATCGAGGTAAAATTCAACAAGTTCATCAAAATTTTCTGAATAAGTTCCAGAAAATAAACACTGAAAGCCTAAAAAACAAATTTATATTTTGAGTACCTATTAAAATTATATTAAAAATTATTCTTTGTCCAACCTTTGAATATATTTTTATGACATAAAAATATTGCTTCTAATTGCTGAATGAATAAGTCTATGTATGGAATAGCAATAGTTACACGATAATAAGTTTCTGGTGTAAGATTCTCCATACTAGGGTTATCTCGATGTTTGCTTCGCTGACTAAAACGCTTAATTGAAATAGTGATACCAACTATTTTAGCCATTTTCTTAAAAATAAATGTTTTAAATTAGGGTCTAAATTATGTTAATTTTTTCATATAATATTTACCTCAGATTCTTTGAACATTTGTTTGAAGTTTTCATCAATATTTGCTCGGGGCAGTGTACATATTCGATGTTGGAAGCATTTAACGATAAAATACGAATTGGGAAATTTTATGACAATATAATTATTCGACAAGTACATTATAAAGATGCATTATTTGTTTCACAATAAAAAATAAAAATAATCAATGGGGGGGGGGACCCCATGTACTCCCCCTCGTGAGCACTCCCCTGCAAGTATATAATGACGTATTTTTTTATAATCATCATTTTAAAGCATTAAAAAATAAATAACTGATGAGACAAATAAATAATTTTATATTACTATATATTTTGTTATAGTTTTATAATTATTATTGTAATAACATTAAATAATACAATTCAATGGACGAAGTTTATCAGTTGCCTTGTACGTATGCATTTAATCACTTGGTATCAATGTGTATATTCGTAACACATTATCGAATACAACTCGCATAATATGTATGTTGCATATTTTTAAAAATGTATGTTCATGGAAGGTGGTTTGAGTTGTAGGTACCAGATCTCATAAGCAATCAGTGGCGTTCTCAGGAATTTTCTATGGAGTAGGTTCTGAAAATTTACTAGAATTCAATAGTGGGGGGGCTTTGCCCTCCACACCCCCCGTAGTAATAATATTTACAAATTGTGTGTTATTATGTATTTATATGTATTTTACAGTTTTACCATTACAGTATACCTAGTGTACTGGTATATTATAATATGTATGTCAAAAGCAAAATAGTGCAACCAAAAACTAAGCTTTTCAACATTCATACCTAAATAATCATTATAAAACCATAATAATTTACCAAACATTTCAAAACACAATACTTTCAAGTTTCAGTCCATGATCTCTATCTATTTTCTTTACCGTTTTACACTACTAACCACTTCTGTAAATGATCAATTTAAAGGATATTGTGCATTGCCAACAAGAATAAATCTTTTTCTTTTTAAAATTCATTTTTTATTATCTGTACATTTTTAATTTGTATACTTGTTATATTTATAATATAAACTTATCCGTACATGGACCCACGGCCTGTTTTCGCAGCCCTTGAAGTTTCTTTAAAAAATGATTCCATTTTGAATGAGATGTGTCACTATTAGCTAAAATAATAGTTATCCATATTTGTATTCAACATTTCAAACAATAGGTACGATACAATATTGTAAGAAAGAAATATTAACAGTAACCCTTAAAACATTTCCGTCTTTAATATAGTTATAGGTTCAATATTTACTGTGAATATACAATATAATAACTATTGTTATAAATTATTATTTACTTATTAATATATTTATTATTTCGAATTCTTTTTTTATAAAATTAATTTTTACGAAATTGAATTTATTTTAAACCTGTGGCTTAGGAAAAATATTAACTTAACGTGGCAAAAAAAATTAATTAACTCTTAAGTTACTGAATAACATAAGAAAAAAGTAACTCGTTAATTAACTTAATTAAAAGTAACTTTTTAACTTAACTTTAACTTATTAACTCGTTAATGCTCTCGCCTAATCGTCTTGCTTTTTGGACAAATAAAATTTTATTGATTTTTATAGAAAAAAAAACTAAAAAATTTGAAATTTGAAATTGTCCTTAAACAACCCAAAACAAGTCAAAATATTTTGAAATTGTTATCAAGTATAACCGTTTAAGAATTGATAAAATAAACATATGATAAATTGTGCCTATGGATTTTTAATATTTTTCAAATGTCATTGTATCAATGTATTAATAACCTTGTATTTAATTTTCAAGCTTTTTTACAGAATAAATACAATTTTATTGATTCATAGAAAAAAACACCAAACAAAATTGGAAACCAAAAATGTCTGTAAACAGTTCAAAATAAATTCCAAACCATTAACAGCTATTGCCTATTGTGCATATTATAACATGTATAATATTATATAGAAATACATTTATTATGCAATGAAAAATAAAACAATTTAAATGGTTATAAAACATAAAACGATATATAGAACTAAATTATAATAATTTTAACAATTTCTTCATAAAAGGATTGATTATCAGTGGTAAATGTATAATGTATATGGAGGTGAAATTTTAAATTTTCAATTACACTCAATTCATAAATTCATCTTAATTATTTATTTATAGTATATATGTTTATCTAAATCTATACAGTTTTGAAAAATCTACGACTAGTCAATACATTGACAATGGTATAATATAGTACCTATATACTAATAATTTCTTTGACATCATCTACTAGTTACTACACATAAATATCATCGTTATAAATTATTGGTGCAACCATTGACAGAATCAGGTCATAAGTTATATTAATATATTATATTTCATAATTTATTTAAAAATTTATAAATAATTCAATATTGTATTAAATTAGTATTTCTTATTACCTATAGGCAATTTCAAGTTAGGTGTGGTTTACACGAATGAGGCAACATCAATATAGACACGATAACACAGTAGCTCGTTTCATGCAAAACACCAGAATCTTTATTTTGTATCTATAATACTAGATATTTTAGATTCTGAGTGAAACGATGAATATATTGATTTTACAATGATGTGTTTTTATTTTTTTTAATTTTTTTTATTTTTGTGTCTGTCATTACGTTTTAGGACAGTAAAAATGCTTGGATTTTCTTCAACAGTATCTTTTCTGATAGGAAAGTGAATCTAATTGGTACTTTGGGGGGGTCAAAAGTAAAAAATTCCCAGTAGTTTTCACAAGCGCCGGGAAAACATCATAAAAATTAAGGAAAAATTGGAATTTTTACGCGAAATTGGTTTTCCAAAAAATAGATTTTGGTTTTTGGCGTAACTCTAAAACAAATGAACGTATGTATATACATGAAATTTTCACTAGTTGTTTATACTTGCATTTTCTATACACGATAACATTTTCAAAATATTTTGATTTATTTTGAACGGTTTAGGGACATTTTCATTTTCCATTTTTTTTAAATTTTTTTTTCTAAAACTATCAATAAAATTTCATTTGTTACAATGGCATTTGAAAAATATTAAAAATTTTTAGTCACAGTTTTTTTTATAAGCATTTAAAGTTCAAAAATTGACAAAATATGGAAAAATCACGAATATTAGCAAATTATTTTGAGTTAAGAATTCGTAAAAAATTTTCTTTTTAAATCTAATATTTGAAAATGTAATACAAGATTACTAAAAAAATCTCTACCAGACAGTCAAATTAAATTTTTATGAGCGTTTGAAATCCAAATTTTTACAACATTGGATGTTCACTCGATTTCTCACGTAGCGATTTCCTTATTTTGTTGTTATTCATAAACGAATAACTATAGATACATGACAATTTCACTGAATGTTTATATTAGCATTTCCTATACACCATACAATTTTGAAAATATTTTGACTCTTTTTGAGCTGTTTACGGATATTTTCATTTTTCAATTTTTTTAGTTTTTTTTTTCTATGAATATCAATAAAGTTTTATCTGTTGGGCCAAAAAGTGTAAAAATGTAATACAAAGCTCCTGATATATTGTTACAATATCAGTTGAAAAATATTAAAAATACATATTCACAATTTTTTTTTATAAGCATTTAAACATCGAATTTTGACAGAATTTTTCAAAATGTCGAAATTTATTAATCATAGTAATTAATAAGTTATAAAATGTTCAATTTTTATAGCTAAGGATTGAAAATTTAAAACAAGATTCCACGTAAGAAGTTAATTTTCTTACCGAAAAATCTAAAAAATATACAATCACAGTTTATTTTTATAGTCATTTTATGTTCAAATTTGGACGAAATTACATATTCAAAAACCTAGTTGTGATTATATAATATTATTCGTGGGTACCTACTTTAAACTTGTTATATTGATGTATAACGAGTTATAAGTACCTAATGGATATTGTGATAATGTGATATGATTAATTTGGAATTTATTATAGGTCAATTTTTTTTTTTAATACCATAGATATGTATGTAATTTGTCTTAAACCTAGACTGATATACCGTCTTCGCTCAGAATCGTTTTTCTTATACAATGATATTATATCATTGAATTCAAATTTAATAGCATCCATTATACAGTGACCCACTTGTAACCTACTGTACAGCAGAGCGACATCCACTTACCCACCTTTTTTTCTTTGTAAGTCAAATTAGACTTGGACTATTTTCAATATAAATTATTATTCATATTTTTGTGTAATAATAAACACTAATATATTTTACATCAAAATATATTTTTTCAACACGTTCCATACTTTCAACACGTTACGTGTTGAGCACGTTACAGTTATGGCAATTACATAATTTTTTAATTTCACCTATCTAAATAAAAATTTTAGTTTATTTTAAATTTAATTTTTTAAGATTTAAATTTGTCGTAGAATTACTTAAGGTTTATCGATTTTACGATTAATATTGTTTACATTTTAATGGTGAAGTGTATTCTACAAAATTTTGTATTAACTATTAAGGTCTAAAGAGATACATTATTTCCAAATTTGTAGCATTTACCTTGGACCAAATCATTAATACTTAATTTTAATAGATTGAACTATATTGTTTACCATATACCTAAGATTAAGTGATTTTAATATATTTTCTATTGGTACCTATACTGAATCGAGTAATATGTTTTTAGTTTTTCTATAAAAAAAAAATTAGAAGACAGCTGTTTTAGGGTTTGGAAAAAACCCATGCACCTATAGCTTTATTAACTATATCTGCAATATTTTTAATATTATGAACATTAACTTAAAATATTAACAATTAGAGCTGTTAGGGAATATTTAATAAAATAATACTTAAAATTAATTTTACCGGTTCTCAGCAAAAACATAAATACAATATGTAAGTATCAAACTGCAAATTTACACTAATCGTGGGTCTATAATGAAAAGGTTCTAAATCGTTTTTATGAAATTTTCCAGGAGAGCAATTTGAAGGGTTGAGTTCAAATATTTTACTCATTGAATAACATTTTTTTTAAATTAAAGTTCTAAGGCATGCAGAAACTTGTATAATTTAATTCACAACATTACAATAATAATTTGATGTATTTGTTGATATAAAAAATTAATAAAATACAAATTATAAAATGTTTAGTATAAAAAGGTTTTACAA